CACCTGTTGCAGCTGCTTAACGTGGCCTGTTTTAGCCCCTTAAAGAGGGCGTACTTAATTAAGGTTAACGCCTAGTTACAATACTTAAAGATATAAATTAAGAAAGAGTTCTTCCTTACTAGCTTCTAGATAGCCTATTATAAGGCTATTATAAAAGACAATATCCACAGAGGCTTTAGAGGCGCAGGACTAGTTCCTTTTGACCTAGAGCGAGTGCTATTGAAGCTTAATGTGGTCCTTCGCACGCCAACACCACCACCACTAGAGACTACCCTATAGGAATCTAAAACACTAACTAGCGCAAAGGAGGTTAAGTCACAAATGTTGTATATCTGTGAGCGCATGCAATTGCACAGAGATTTGCCCCTGTCTCCTATTATAAAATTACTTAACTTGCTTGCTAGAGGGGTTGCGTAGATAGACTATGCTAACGTGTTGTAGAGAAGGGAAATAGATAGCATAAAGAAGGCTATTAAGGCTCTAACAGCGCAGCATAGTTGCAAAAGAAAGTATATCTAGACAGAGGAGGCTCTTACAGCTAGTGAGGTACAGGATATAATAGCTAAGAAGGACAGTGGTGGTGGTGAGGCATCTAAACAGTCTAGGAAGAAGGTGCGCAAAGAGAGGCACTGCGGACGTTGCGGCAAGACTGGCTACAATTTGCGCACCTGCACTGCAGAAATATTAGATGCAGATAATAGCGCTGCTTCTAAAGAGTAATTGTAGCAATTATAAGTATTAGTGTAGTGTTATAGTTAAGCGTAATAGTTGTGTAATAGTTAGTAACTCTAAAAAAGTTGGTAAGGGGTGGCAGTTTGGTAATACCTGGCGGCTTGGTGATAAACCACGTTATACTTAACTTAAGTATCCTCTACTAGCTTAAACTATGCGCTAATTATCTCAGGATCTTCCTGTAGTATCCTCTGTCTATCCTTAGCTTAATTAAAGGCTATTTTAAGCTTGTCTAAACGCGTCACAAGCCTACTAGCCTATAGTTTGCCAACAGGCTCTTCACCACGCACACTAAGTATCTTATTAGCCATATCTGCCACCTTACATAGCTAGGGCGCAAATCCTTGCAAATTAAGGTTAAGTATATACTAGATAATTGTCTGCTCCTCTAGTATAGTAAGTTTCTAGCAATTAGCACGTATGTCTAGTTAAAACATAATATTGCAAAGGTAATTAGAGACCTGCTAATAAGGTACGTTCAACGCTCTAGCAGCGCTGTAGATACTGCGAAATTGGCTAGCATAGAAGGCCTAGATAGCAAGGATAACTCTACCTTCTCTAGTAGTATTCTAAAGTTGTTGTTGTTAAGGCATATTGTGTTGGGGTAAAAGGTGGTCGTGCCAAGAGAAAGTGGCTGGTTCGGTGATATGGCCGGCTCAGTGATAATCTACGTTATATTAGATAATTGTCTGCTCTTTAGTTGTAGTAAGCTTCTAGCAGTTTGCGCGTACGTTGAGTTAAAACGGAGTATTGCTAGCGCGTTTAGAGAGCCTGCGTTGGTTAACGTTGAATGCAGCAGCAGCAGCCCAATGGCTCTGAAACTGTCCAGTATTGTAGGCCTGGAGAGCAAGCTGCAGTCTCCCTTTGTGTTGAAGCAATAGGTCGTGATGTTGTTAAGACATACTGTGAAGTGTGGAGTTGTGTTAGTCTTGGCAGATTTTGACTGGTTTGGTGATATGACTGGCTCGGTGATAGAGTACGTTATAGTAACTTGTGTTAGTTGTGCTAAGAGAAAATGGCTAGTTTGGTGATATGGCTGGCTCAGTGATAATCTACGTTAGTCTTTAAATAATATTATACGCTGTACTGCACTATATAGTGCCAAAGGAGATTGCTTTAGGCCATAGTGGGGTGTGGTTGGGTTTGGTCTTGGCAAAAGTGACCGGCTCGCCCGTTGACCGGCTCGCCCGTGGGGTACGTTATGCATAAAGACATTTGACGCACGACATGAGTGACCACGAAGCTGATGCGCACACAAAGAAGGCGAATTTGCCATTTGGAGCAGAACCTTATAAGGGAAGGCAAATAAAGAGACTATCAGCGGTGCGCAGCAACCTGAGGTCTGAAAAGCGAGACGTCATGACATCACCAACCGGTTTCAACATCGCGCTTTCCTCCAGCTGTTCTACACGAGACCAGATCCCGGACTTTTTCTATCTCAGACCTCAGCTATCGCCACCGGTTAGTATCTGGTGGTTGGTCGAACTCAGGTGCGTTCGGTTATCAATGGCCCGGCCTTCTCGCCGAAAGATGGGGTTTATTGCCGGGTTAGCGCGCTCCTCAAATGCGTTCCCCAGGGTTGGCCACTTGATACACGACACAAACGCGAAGTCAAAGAGCTAGAACAATGGGACCCATCGACGGCGCTGAGGTTGCGAAGCACACTAAGAAGGACGACTGCTGGATCGTGCTCGACTCGCATGTGTACGATGTGACGAACTTCCTGTCTGAGCACCCCGGCGGTGCACCGGTCATTTTGAAAAATGCCGGAACCGTGAGTGTGTTCGAGAATGGCGACGATGCAGAGTTAATGTTCCACAGGATGCGACAGAAGAATTCAAGAAGTATCATCCTTTGAGTTACCTTAAAGACTACATCGATCAGTCGTCCGTTCTGGGACTGGTAGACCCCAACACCCTGGCACAGTTGAGAAACTCACAAAACAAAGCTACAGAGACACCATCAGAAACGAATAAGTCACCCGGCATCCCGCATGTGTCATTGTGCGTTCAGACCCCAGATTTTGAGACGGTAGCAAAGGCGGTCCTCCCACACAAGTCCTATATCTATGCATCTGGATCAGCCAACACGGGTGCGTCGCTGAAGGGTAACCTCGATGATTGGGGTCGCATTTCTTTCCGCCCGCGCGTCATGCGCAACGTGGGCGATGTCGACACGCGCCGCAAGATCTTTGGTCACAGTTCACAGTATCCATTCTATGTCTCACCCATGGGCACTGTTGGCGCGATTCACGACGAAGCCGAGCCAGCAATGGTCAAAGGTGCGGTGCGGAAAGGTGCACATGTGGTCGTCAGTACGGCGAGCACGAAGTCCAGCGAGCAAATCATGCAGAACTATATCGAGGAGCAAGGAAGACTGAAGAACGGGAGTCCGACTCAGCTGTTCTACCAGTACTATATGCCGGTGGATCGTACAAAGGCAATCGAGCTAATGCATCTCGTTCAGAAGGCAGGGTATAAGGGGCTGTGGATCACAGTCGACACACCCATCCTTGGAAAACGAACAGCCGATCGCTATCTGCAGGCTGAGGAGGCGCTGGCCGCCGGCTTGGAAGAAGAGACCACCGCAGAGTGGGAGACCGACAGTTCGTCAGAAAAGGATAATGCAGCAGGCAGCGATAATGCCTTTGCCCCAGCCATGGGCGGGCGAGTTGTCCGTGGCCAGTTGAGCCCACACACGACTTGGGAAGACCTGGAATGGATCCGCAAGGAGTGGGACGGGCCGATCGTGCTGAAGGGTATCCAGACTGCAGATGATGCGAAACTGGCGTTGGACTACGGGTGCGATGGCATCCTGCTCAGCAACCACGGCGGGCGACAGATGCACACCGCGCCGAGCGCGCTCATGACGCTCCTTGAGATCCGGACGTATTGCCCCGAGGTCATTGGTAAGCTAGAGATATTTCTTGACGGCGGACTGCGAGACGGGAACGATGTGCTGAAGGCGCTGTGTTTGGGTGCAACAGCAGTCGGTGTTGGCCGGCCGTTCCTGTATGCGCTCGCAGCGTACGGTACGAAGGGCATCGAGCGTTGTATTGATAGTATGTTTGACCTGCAAATACGTCGGGATTTGAGACTAACACATCGCAGTCCTTGCTGAAGAGCTGCAGACGGGCATGCGCTTGCTGGGTATCACATCGTTGGATCAGTGCAAGCCGGAGATGGTCAACGCCAGCCGCCTGCTGAACAAGATGTGGCGGCCAGAGCAGTCTGTGTTGAAGAGCAGGTTGTAAGTCGGAGCTTGAGAGTTCGAAATCGACCAGTATTGCGAGGCTTCTAATGAACATCTCCCGAGCCTGTTAGTAGTTAAGACTATAGTGCTTATTCCTATTCGTTTCTCCATCAACAACATGAAGAATATGGTGAGGTGGCCGAGTTGGTTATGGCGCCAGGTTAAGGTCCTTCTCCTTAGCACTGCTGAGCAATCAGCTTCCTGGTCACGAAAGTGGCGCGGGTTCGAGTCCCGTCCTCATCAGCATTCGTCTTTCACAGCTAGATATCCCAGGACACGATTTTTGCCGGTGTCCTGGTTGCGTGGTGTGGGTGTTGGACGATCAAGCGAAGTTTTTTTGCTTGTGCGGGGCATGCGCAGCGTTAGACTTGCTCAGGATAGGCCTAGCTAGCATACGCCTTGCTGTCTAAAAGTAAGCTCCTATGATCTTAGATATTGACCTTACTTCTTGAGTGATGTTAATTGCGAATGTTGCGACTTGTAGGTAGAGTATCCGCCTTGAGGTGAAGACGTGAATCACTCCAGAGAAAGAGGCGCTTCGATGTCATACCTGTTGGTATCCTACCGTGTCTCCAAGACGAGCGGTTGCATTCTAGTTCCCTGTCGAGGAGTGACAAACTCTGCCCCCTGTATCTAGTCCAAAATGGATTTCCTAGTCTGGTTGGATGCTGCGAGGACTAGAAGATGGAGACTGTTTTCCGGAAGGACAGGGGCCCTCGCGTCATCCACAAAGGCGTGCTGTTGGGCTTGATTTACTTTAGCTCGAATGCTTGTCAGTTGTCGACGGTAATGGCTTCAGTTGTGGTACCACTCTCGCCGTATTGATAAGGAATGTCCGGGGATGAGATGCTGGCGGACGAAATTGCAGAGATTGCACGATTCAGAGTTGGTGTGAAGACTTCAAAATCCGACACAATAGATTCTAGCCAAGAACAATGGATTTGCGCACTTGAAAAATCGGGTCTTTTCGGACGCTCCCGCATGGCAATCGCGTTCATACAATGTTGCATAAGCGGAGAAACTTGAAAATCATGATGCGCGCTGCATACCATGAAGTTAGCGATAGGCGGCCAATCGTCCCGCGGTCTTCCGTAGCGGCCACATTTACCTGATGCATAACCTCGATCGTACCTGCAGCAGGCGGTACAGTTGCTGCGCACACAACCTCGCGCAACTATAACAATCACTCTTCGACTTCACTTCGCATCACACCATACCTACCAGCTGCGGTCAACTTTGAGTCGTCTCCCTCCCTGCCTCGGTATTTTCTCTGCGCAATTGTGCGGAACTGAGACTAGTCAGGGGCCTGAGCGGAACGAACTGACCGCTTATGAGATGCCTGCTTTGTCTAGAAGCTTACATCTACGCTGACAGCTCGACTAGCTTAGCAGCAATGCCGACAGAACCTTGCATCTGCTTCCATCACTTCAATAGTCGGTAGGCTCCACCTTTACACCTTAATAAGGGTTCAAGCAGTGAGGCTCATGTCGTCCGGGTCCGACTGTGAGCGTACGCCACCGAGCAACATTGTAAGCAGTCTTCCAAGTCGCGCCATGGATTGATACCATCCAGGAAAGGAGACGCCACCAGCCACTGAAAGGATTGATTCTATACATTCCTACTTCTAGGCGCATTTCCACCCATTGCCTTCTCCGTGAAGTGTTGCACCTTGGCAACTGCCAGAGGCGGATTCTGTGGCTTGACCGATATGCTGCCTACCAATTGTACGCCTTATGGGTATGATGTGGGTCTAGGCGGCGTTACCACAAGCGAAGTTGAGGTCTTGTCAGGGTGTCAGGCCTCAGCCTTACTTTTCTTAGGTCACTACCGGTGGGATGCCTTACACTTTTTCGCTGCGATTACCCGCCTTAGCCGTGGTGCGAAAGGAGTTTCAGTATTTTCTTGCAAGGATTGTATCCCCCTAACTCTCGACCTTCATATGTCTTGCATCTGTCGCGCCCAATGTCTTACTTTTGCTTTTGTTTTTCGACCTTGGGCCTGGGATTTAATAAGTCTGCCCTCTGTACGGCACGACACTTGTTTCAATTTCACGGTTTAGATAATTCTGTAGCAGTTTTCCAGCTCACCATATTCTCCCGCTTGCTCATAAATCGACCGTAGATCGTATCCGAACGATTCAACCCACATTATGCGCATCTCCAACGCTATCACGGTTGCCGCAGCTCTTACACCGCTTGCCAGTGCTCATGGTAGCATTGGGTTCCCAAAGATCCATGGACTCGTCGATTCAATTGACCGAAGAGCAGATGCCCTGGTCGCCAGCTTCAAGACTGGAATCTTCAGCATCGACTCACACGTAGACTTGGTCTTGGAAGCGCGTGCAAGTCCTCAAGAGTGTGGCGAAGGAATTGGATCATGTCCTGCGGACAGGGGCTGCTGCTCAACAGCTGGCTGTAAGTAATCATAAGATCGGACGCGATACTTTTACTGACTCTGGTAGACTGCGGATCTAACTCGAGTTACTGCTACTCTCCCAACTGCCAGTACAAGTACGGTCCTGGCTGCCCAGAGCACCAGAAGCCTGAAGGCAAGAGCACTGGATCCATCCCCCGAGCAAAGATCGGTTCAGTTCCCTACGGAGGCAGCGGCATCTACCACTGCAAAGACCCGGGCAACGTTGCCATTACTTATGACGACGGGCCCCACAAAGACTTCACAGCGACCATCCTGGATCTTTTCAAGAAATACGATGCAAAAGCTACATTCTTCATCACTGGCAATAACATTGCTAAGGGACAGATTGACAAAACTCAAGAACATATCGATGTGATCAAGCGCATGGATGCAGAGGGGCATCAGATTGCATCTCACACATGGACGCATCTCAACTTGTCTAAGATCGACAAAGATGATCGGAAAGACCAAATCTTGAACGTTGAGGGCGCGCTAAACAACATCGTTGGGAAGATCCCTACCTACATCCGCCCGCCTTACTCTAGCTGCACTGTTCCCTCTGGCTGCGACCAAGACATGCAGGACCTAGGTTACCACGTCATCTACTTTGACGTAGATACCGACGACTACCAACAGAACCCCAAGAACACCTTTCAAAACTCGCTGGACTGGTTCAAGGGAAACATGACCATGGGGAACATGTCACCTAAGCAGAACTCATCGCTTTCCATCTCGCACGACATCATTGACAAGACCGCCAACGAGCTCACTGAGTTCATGCTCAAGACCATTACCGAGCTCGGCTACAAGGGAGTCACCGTTGGCGAGTGTCTAGGTGATCCTAAGGATAACTGGTATCGTCAGTTCGGCGACTCTGCCAACCGTGTTGGTGCTAATTCCACTTCCAAGTCGGTAAATTCAAGTTCCATCTCTAGCGCCAGTGGAACCTCCAGCCTTATTTCATCTTCGGGTTCCGGTTCGTCCTCAAGCTCACCTTCGGGCTCGGGCAGCCCCTCCAGTTCGGCTACTGCCGAGTCAACTACAAGCGCTGCGAGCACTATACTGCAGAAGTCGGGGTTTACTGTCTCAGCAATTGCTTTCTCTGTTGCCATCTTGGCGGTATGAAGCAACTGCGTTGCGTAACATGGTTCACTTCATGTAGATATATTATTGTAACGGAACCCCGTTGTGTGATAATCCTCAGTTTCATAGATGACTGTGACGAGCTGGAGAGGAACTACTCCGGTGATCTATTGTGTAGACCACTGTCGCGTAATCAACATCATTATCCCAGTCTGTAATCTCCATGTCGTCCCTCGCGGCGTCCTCATCTTCTGCCAGCCACACAGCCAGCTTTTTTTTGTCAAAATCTTGTGCGATCTCGGCAAGGTACTTTCTTTAGCTTAACTAGGAAGTGTTACTGTGTCTTAGCAGTGTAGCACGGCGCACATGTCTTCGCAGTACTAGTTATCATTATTTTACAGGCCTCTGACGCGCTCAAGCTCGTCTACGATTGCGCTGTCTTGTGTTCGATAATCTGCACACCTGCCTAAACCGTCGTTCGCCACTCAAAGTTGGAGCTTGGTATGGTATGTGATTTGCAGACTCGCTACGTGGATGTTATCTACTGTTGGAGGGACAGGCTCGTTGCATATTATGCAATTATTGCGACGGAACAAGGAGTGAAAGCGGTGCGTGTAATAGAACGGCACAAGGTGAGACGAAAGGCACCCACACTCTTCCAGATTATTAGGCGCTGCTCCATAGTTGGTTCAGAGCGCGTTGTGGGGGGGCAGAATGGGATCAGCCTACCCGAGATGTGCAGGCACGGACTACTGTTTTTATTGTTGCCTATTGACTGTTCGTTCATGTCCAAAGAGGCTGGTCAAAAGATGTCACTGTCCTTGTCATCGTCGCACCCTCTCGATCGTACTTTTCAACATACTTCCCGCTATTGCAAAGCCACCCACCCACCTCCATACCTCGTTGAGCCCTCGTCCTCGATACCCGAAGAGTTATTACGAACACTGCTGAGGTACCAGCATACTGCTAGCCTGTGGATATGCATTGGGTGAAGCCAATGGCAAATTTCAAGAGTTTTCAGTGATAGTGGGTTGGTCGATCAAACGGTCCACATATTGAGGCCGAGGAAGGCGCACGGATGGGGTTGAGTAAGTGCGACCCGCAAAACGGCAGCAGCCAGCCGAGCACTGGAGAGTAGGCAAGAAACGGTGTTCACAAGGATGTGACAGGCATGGCGGCGACGTTGTTGTTCGTGTTTAAATTCTGTGTCGGACCTACACTGCTATTGGCAGGCAGCGAGCCTGGGCAGGATGTCACGCAAGCATAATGCATGCCTCGGCAATGCTCGACTGGCGTGAGCGTGCCATGTGTGCTTATTAATTAGCCCTTATCCCGATGGTGCAGCAGACTCTCATTCGCACTTGCTGTTATGTTGTAGCAGCTATGTGTAAACAGACGGCTTTCAAGCCCAATGTAGCGTTCGTGGGGGTATATGAGCGGTGAGAGCCGTGAAGTGCTGCCGTTTTGGGCGACAGCGCAAAATCACAGACACCCTGAAGACGATAGATAGCGGTGAAGGCCAAAAGTAGTGTTGTTGTGCCGTGTCACTGGTCCCACGTGTCAGTGCTCGGGAAGGGGCGAAGAGCCGCGTGTTCTTGACGTGTAAGAGCCTTCCCCACACTTTCAGCCGGAGCTCTGCCTGAGCTCTAAATGTCGCAGTATCGTGCGCGCATATCGTCACGTCGTGATGATGCTCAGGCCACATTTGAAGAAGCTCTCAATCTTGATGTTGATTGGATCCGAACACCTCCTGCACCCGGAGATACCGTGCGCGATTCCTCCAATTGGAATGCCCGGGCAAACCTTGCGCGTTCGAGGTGGTGATGAACGACTCGAGTGTTTCTAGCGCTGACGATCTCCACGGCTGCTCGGGACGATGGAGTGGCTGCCAAGGTGAAGAAAGCAGCCATGGACTGCTTCGAGCCGTTCTGCGATGAACTGATGCAGTGGAAGACGGAGGCATCGTGATTATAGCGGTGAATTATGTCCATAGAAGTTAAAGTGCTGATAATCGAGGTAAACGGAACAAGAGAATGGGATCTTTTGCAGGTCGTTCCAAGATGCATGCCACGTCCTATCTAACGTGCATCTCAGGATAGCCGAGTAAGGAAATACAGGTGTACAATCGTACTGTTATGCCGTAAGGAAATGTGAATGGGTCTAAATCTCGCAGGCGCTGCCGTATCGAAAACTCGAGCGCTAGTATTGTACCATTGTCCAACACCAAGCCCAAAGCGAATCCAAAAGAAAGTGTCGAAAAGAAGTACGATTCGAGCGCACGGCTCGACCGTGGGATTTAAATGGCAGTACGTGCTAATGGTATCGCGTGTGCCCTCTGAAAGCCGCAGCGGCAACGGCAGTAGGGCATGGTGAGGGTGCCCGGTGGTGGGCAGGTATCTTTCAACTTTCTTCGTATCGTGTGCACAACGATATGGTTTCCAACTCTTCACATCACTGTGCATCCGCAGCAGCCGCCCTTCTTCTCTTCGCTGTCCTCGACGCCCATCTTGGCGATGCCATTTTGGCCCTGTGCGCCAGACGGCGCACCTGTGTACGAGGACATCTCCTTGTTGTATCTGCGGATCTCTCGTACAATGTCGTAGAATGCGTTGTCGACGTTGATGCGGGATTTCGCTGAAGTCTCGATAAACTTGCAGCCGAACTGTAGTGCCAAGTTCTGACCCTCTGTAGGGTGTTTAGACACAGATTGTAAAATGCAGGGTGAGGCATAGCATACCTTGCGTTGACACCTGCCTCTCGCCGTCAAGATCGCACTTGTTTCCAACAACGATCATTGGGAAGTAGTCCTTATCCTTTACACGCAGAATCTGCTGCTGGAACGTCATGATCTCCTCGAAGCTCTGCCTGTCTGTTATCGAGTAGACGAGCAAGAAGCCCTCGCCTGTCCTCATGTACTGTTCGCGCATCGCAGAGTACTCCTCCTGTCCGGCTGTGTCGAGAACGTCGAGCAGCGCGACCTCATCGTCGATGACACACTGCTTGCGGTACGAATCTGCTCGGTGTCAACTGGAGTTCAAGGGAACCCCTCTCGAAACCGCATTCGCGCAACCCGGTATAACTCACCCTCAATAGTAGGGTCGTACTCGTCCACGAAATGGCTCTGAATGAGCTGTATGGTAAGACACGATTTACCGACACCACCGCCTCCAACAACAACGAGCTGATCAATTAGTCAGCAACAGATCTCTCTATAGATTCGCGAGCTAGGGGTACATCAAGACCACCGAGCACGCACAGATATGGACATTCTGTTGGCCCCTGGACTTGAGACGGAGAGACGAAGGGTTGAGGGGGAGCACGTGCCTTGTATTCGCGTAGGAACTTCGACGCCATCGCAGCGCTCTATCTTGGATATTTGTAGTGTTAGGTGGAGGTCGCTGGGAATTGAGGAAGAGGCTGGTAACTCTGTAGCTTCGTCAAGGAGAGGCTTTTGGCAGGCGCGACGATGATAGGCGCAAATCGACGATGGCAGGTGCGCTCGAGATGGATTCAGGCGAACGTACAGCACCGATGGATAGCAGGCCAGGGGATCGAGGTCGCAATGGAAGAGGGATGGGAGAGCCTTCGTCGTTCGGGTTTCGCTGCAGAGGCGCTATACCGCCTTTAACAAGAGCCCCACTTGGCGCGTGGCCAATGCGCACGAAACCTCCACACCCAGTCAACACGCAAATGCAGGTTGCTGCAAGCGTGCCGCCGGCGTGTCCACTCGTTCGCGATATCACACATGCATTTCATATTCGGCGTGCAGCGTACCCAGAGCCGTCGGAGTCCACTGTCGCGTTGTCTGCCGACTCCTGAAGGAATGCAGCTTCCATTTCGCGGTTAAAGCGGCGGTTTTCGGGAACGTCGCCTCTGCGATCCATGCTCTGCTTTCTCCAGTGCGGCACGGGCAGTCAAGCATGCTGCCATCGTGGGCCTCCAGCCGAGCGCCATCTTCCTTGTCCTTTACGGCGCGTACGATAGCCACCAGCGGCGCTTGAGAACGCCCAATGTTGTACAGCATTACGATCCGACGTACGACCGCCTTCACCACGTTGTTTGTCCCGGCGTCTGGCGGTGACAGGCGAATTCAACTGGAAATTAAGATAGCAATCTCTTCACACATCATACCATTTCTATCGCACAATCAAGATGGTGTTATCAGGGTCGGAGACCCACTGGCCTCGGCACTGCTCTACCTAGTAAAGTGGGACACGGCTCACCTTCTGTGCAGGCTTTAGAAGCTTTGGAAGCATGACCCCTGAATGAATCCACGCTGACATCTCTTCGAGGCAACACAACGCGTTCGCGCAATGTAAAACCTGCGACCAGTCATGTAACATTTGCAGATCGCCACTGTACACTTTCGTCCATGTCTCGGACACAGCCGGTGCTTGGAGTTGCATAAGTTCCTATGTGTCCTTGTCTGATGTCTCGCCGTCGTCCTGGCCCTCGACCGCAACACGCTTGCCATCAACGTTCTTCTCGACCTCTGGGACTAGGCCTTCCATGAACTCAACATCACGGCCGACAAGTGTCACTGTGTTGTGATCTTTGCCCCATCGTGGGTAGCTACCGACCTTGACACCCCTTGGTTCCGCCTTCGCCGCCAGTTCCGTTAGATACCCAGCGACAGCACTCTCCGCCAGAGGCGTAGAGATCAAAATTCGCAGTACGCCCTTGCCTTCTGGATCGGTCAGGCGAGGCAAAACGCGGGGCTTCATGCCGTCAATCATAGCCTCGAATAACCTAGGCACACCGGGCAAGATGTGGACGTTTCCGTTGACACAGCTCACAGGCACCCAGAGAGTATCGTTCACAAAGATGACTTGGTCCTCATCAGGTACTGCGTCGTCAATTGGCAACTCTACCATGCGCTTCTTGGCTGTAAGTGCGGCTGAAGGCACATCCCAGCTAAAATTTGGCTGCGACTTGTGAGGTTTCGAGAGGCGCTTCATACGCTCGTAAGCTGCATCATGCAGCTTCAACTGCAGGCCAAAAGCCCTTGCTATCGACTGGTAGGTAATGTCGTCGTGTCTGTGCGATCGTGTTAGCGTAGTACGTGCCAAGTTGCATGGGCAACTTACGTTGGACCAATGCCTCCACTGGTAACGACGAAGTCATAGGTGCTAGACATGCGTTTCACGGCCTCAACAATTTCGCCCTCATCGTCGGCGATGACTTCCACACGACGAAGGTTGACGCCTAGAGAGAAGCACCACTTGGCAAAGTATGCCTAAAAGACATCAATCGAAGTTCAATGATGCTGCATACTGTAGCTTACAGAGTTGGTGTCCACAGTCTGTATATGCGTGTTAGCGACCAATGTTCAAAGTCAACGCGTGATAATCAACATACCTTGCCTCCAAGTACCTCATCTCCAATGATCAGACAAGCAGCCGTGTGGATCAACCCTTTTTCGTGAGGTGATGTACCTGCCATAATCGATGACGTGATTGATGCGGGCGAGCGTGCTACTGGACGTGATAGGTGTCGAGCGACCTGACCGAGCCGGCTGAACATGAGACGTCGCGGAATCTTGATTCCAATACCGATGAGTACCTGAGTACCTGCACCAGGGCGAGAGTGTCTGCGAAGAGATGGGCACCTCCGTGACTTCCAGTCGATCACTAGCGTGCTCAAGGCCCCACACCCCACCTCAGCGGGATACCGCCGTCAAGCCCTACAACTGCGCTCTCAAACGAAATACCGCCGCGTGTTTATCTCAAGCACTTCAGCTTCGCACATCAGACAACTTACAATATGGCAAGTCTCGTGCTTGGTAGCCGCACATGAGCGCTAATATTTTTGCAAGGCGTCCGAGTCGCGGCTTTACACATTCTCAACCGAGACGAAGACGAAGCTGCGCAAGTTCAGGCTGGGCACATCACGGGCCAAAGACCCTCAGGCTGTCATCTGTACGATCCTATCGCCTCCATAGTCGCTATGCGCCCTATTTCAAACCCCGAGCAAGGCTGATACCGGCGCCTTTCAGACGAGATCGACAAGAAGACACTAGAGATCAGGCCTGTCGACGACGAGGTATACTCAGACGTGACACTTGTGGCAGATGAGCTGCCTGATCACGCACCAAGATTCGTGCTGCTCAGTTACCCCCTCACCCTTGTACGTCTCGCAAGAACATTGCTTGGGAAGTGAGTTCTGCTAACACGGCCAGGACTCTGGCCGACTCTCCGTACCTTATGTCATGCTGTACTACCTGCCAATCACCTGCAATAGTGAGGTCAAGATGCTGTACGCAGGTGCAAAGGAGTTGATGCGCAATACAGCAGAAGTTAACAAGATCATCGAGATCGACAGCGCCGAGGATCTGGACGACATCGAGGACAAGTTGAAGGAGTCATAAGTGACAATATTAAACGACCTACAATGAGAAACGAGACAAATGGTTAGATATCAAATCATCATCAGCAACTCATGTCACAGTAATGAGAGCGTGGCACGTCCGCAGAGCGGCAGCAAATATGCCAAGGGCACAACATCATCGTGCAGACATGAGTATACCAAGTTTAAACCAACATATGGGATATCTCAACGTCCTTCCGATTGCCATTCAGCTGGCGTATTTAGTGCGTACGCACGGCTCTGCCGTTTTCGATCGGCGCCACACGAAAATTAATCTTACTCAACTGCATGACTGTCGATCGACCGCGCCACATGCATGCAGCATCTCATGTTATTTCATCTCAACGATCAGCACGTTCCTCATCACCGCTGTGCTACATCTTACCATTTTCCCATGCATATCGCCAACCTCCACTACCTGCGTCAGAGCAGCTCTTATGCACGTTTACAGGATAGGCCATCGATTGCATCGGTCAGGATGCTGGCTGCACTCCTATTTCCTTACTAGTGTGAGTGCACTTTACGGTGCTGGACCGCTGCGAAAGTGACTATGTAAACCAGAACAACAGCAATTAATCGCAGAGTGCTAACGCCTAGGAAGATGACAACTCGGTCTGTACACGCTGCTCTCTGCGTTTCCCTGGCAGACTATCCCACGTTTCGCCTAACGGAAAAATAATTTGTACCAGGCCATTCCACGAATGATGAATCGCCGCTTTCAGTGACCAGAGTCCTCTGAGTCCATGTAATGGAGTCTTCCTCGTGAATCCTCTTCATTTGTACTCTCAATCAGAACTTCTTCATGGATGCGTTCTCTCATCTGACACAACATAGCCTACATCTCAGGGTCCTGATTCTTCAATCTAAAAACCTCATCATCGTCTCATGTAGGGTCTTCATAACGCTCTCTGATCCTGCGAAACTCGCGATTAGACCAAGTAGACTCTCTCAGCTTGCGCTTGTGAATAGCAAACTTCGTGCCGAATCATTCCAGATCAGGCAGACGGCGATTTGGAACGAGAAACTCAATGGCAGTTGTAAATGCTGCTCTGAATGCGATCTCAAGCTTTTTCTCGCCTGCAAACAGAGTTGATGCTCCCGCACTCAAAAGTTCTCTGCAGGACTCGATCCATGTTGGATCTGGGGTTGTGCTTAGTGACGATTAATCAGCATTTGAGAGCGTGCGTACTGCACATATCTCGCAGCTGGATAAGAGGCAGCGCAGATTCGTCGTCCGAGGGCGAAAATTGAAGCACCTCCAGACTCAATGGCAACCTACGGCAGAAACGCTCTTCTTCTTCCAAGCTGTGCTCTGCGTGTCATGCGTCAAGGTCTGTGTCATGATCAGAACACATCTCAGCAGGTGTGCTCAGCACTTACAAGTCCTTGAACTGCACGAGCGGGCGAACGAAGTCGTCTCCCATACCAGGATCGAAATGTTCAGCCAATTTGGCGCTGTCAATCTCAAGACACAGCTCTTCCAAGGACTCCTTGACCGAACCTAGAACGTCGGTTAGTAGGGCAGGAGTTATGGTGTATGGATTTGGACCTGGGCCACCACTTGAGAAACTGAAATTTTCAGATTCGGACAAGCTTTGATAGGACACACCATATCTGTGGGTCTCAAACACGATCGGACTAATTCAAGTTTCTTCAGCTGCAGAGACCCTAGCTGTAGCGCGATTGGTACCTCCATCGTATGGAGAGGTTCCATGAAACCGTCGGAATCCTGGAAAAATTAAGAGCTGCGGGTATGCGCCACGAAGATCTCTAGCTTAGCTTCGGCAAGTACCGAATTAAAGAATGCGACGGGCCTGGTCAAAGCATCGTCCATGGCCGCGGCTGTCAGTCTATGCAGCTTGGTGAAGCGATGTATTGGTATTTGCCAGGCCAATGCAGTAATATTCGCAGGCAAGCCGTCCAGGTAGATCTCCGAGACATTGGGGAGCATAGCCACGATCAAGACCACCAACAAATCATCGAGACCGGTACGCATTATGTGGCAATAGGTCTGTCGTACGAGAAGTCTTTGAAAGAAGTTTCGTCGCCAAGGAGTAGATCGTACCTCTATTTCTCAGTGTCCAGATCATCAAGTCTCATGGGCCGCGCTGCCTCGACAATCTGGCTCGTCGTGCTGTATGGAGCTAATTCAGCTGTGATACCAGCGACCTTCGCAGCCACAGTGTACGTGTCATACTCTTCCTTCGACGGCTCTTTCAGGCGAGACTGATCGAATTCGTCTCCCTTGTCATGCTCAGCTCTGAAGCGAGACAGAGGCTCCAGGTGTGCCGGGTTGAACGCGTCCAAAGTGTCCCACGAACGTGGATGAATCTTCTTGACATATCGCACGAATCTTTCATCTGAAATTAGACGCTTTATGAAAGGTGCAATGGGGCACGAACGTAGATTGTTGTGCTCGTAATACAGCTCAGGCTCGGTAACGGCATCCAGGTACTTATATAACAGAGAGATGTTGAGGAGGTCCACCTGTTGCACGTACGACGCGATGGGTACAGGATTAATTCATGACACGGACCAACGAGCGACATCTTGATGCCAGGTGTGTGGTAAGATGTAGAGTAACAAGACGCGCAGGGGTGCGTCTGAGCTCACGGGGTTGGTGACGCATGTAAGGAAAGCTAACCTAATCTTGTGATGCACCAGGACCGCCCTGGAGTGTTATGTAACTCCTCCTCGTCAGCCAATTTCCGATATGGTGAAGCTTCACTTTAAACGACGCGACAGGCGACTGTATTCTGACTGCCATCCATCTCTTGTTCCAGACAATTTCGCGCACAACGGATCAACCTGGGAGTAATCGTCAGGCTTCGTCAGAAGTCTGATGTGCCAGAAGGCTGTTCAAGATGAAGAGATGACAAGTCGTCTGGAGCTGGGGAGATGGGGCGAGCACTGCATGGTGCCCCGGTCAGCGGGGCGCGCCTATTGCCCTCCGCTAATCTGTCAGCACGCAATTTCAACCTCGCCTCTTTGAGCAACCAGCAATGATAGAGGTTATAGAAATAAGAATGTACGGCAGTGTCCTCGATCTTTGTGGCTATCACTTTTCTCCATATCTACCCTCAGAGCGCGTACGCCTTCCAGGCTTACAATCGCCACATTTATGCAGGCTTTGATCCTGGCTGCGCTTCACTGCGACTTCGAGGTCTTAGCAACAGTTTGCTGTCGGACTGCTCTCGATTCAAGCACTTGTACAGCTCTAACTCCACTGTGACACTCGCATTACAGAAATTTTTGGCTACAACACAGAGGCGTTTGTAGTCTTCAGAGTGTTCGTCTGAATGCCAGCGATGCACACATCATCTTCAACAACCCCCCCTTTTTATGAAGTAAGGTCAGTTTTACAATGAAATTCTTCTGCTCACCACTGAGGGAGGTGGTTTGAGGAAGTTCGGGAAGTGCAAAGGCCACAATGGTCAGCTTACCTACACTTTCAGTATGTCCAATTTCCTTACGATGCTACAAGACGTACACATCTTGGACCTTAGGTCAATGGCTTGCATGAGTTCCTACTACAAGGTGGTATTTAGTGCCGTGTGTGCTCCCCTTCTCGAGTGGTTACTCTCTACGTCCGGGGTAGGTATAGCTACTACTTCCCTATCTGCTTTTTATCTTTGCTTCATTACCAGTCCACATCGCCCATCACGGTGTTCCTCTGTCGAGTCCTCGGGGATGGTTTCTGTTTCATTTTGATAGAATTTGTAACTGCGTGAGCAGTGTCGGTCGGAGACTGTGATCAACCACGTGGCTCAGATCACATGATATCCTATTGTAGCAGGCACTGCCCAGTGGGCAAGTGCACTTACCTGAGAGCTGAGAGCTTGAACAACACAAAATCACACAACACGACAACAGACAGCAACAAAATCGTTGATCATAGTCTCCGACCGACACTGCTCACGCAGTGACAGTTATTGCGCTGTCGTGTGATAGAAGCTCTCAGCTCTCAGGTAAGTGCACTTACCCACCAGTGCCTGCTACAATAGGATATCATGTGATCTGAGCCACGTGGTTACAAAACTAAGTCAGTTAGGCCAAATGAGGTGCTACTACCAGGCTGTCCTGATGCTGACTGTCTCGCAGGTATCGCTGCGCCAGAAGCCGTGCCTTAAAACCTCGTCGGCTTCACTCCAAGATTTTACATGTCTGATTGCGTTAAAGATACCGAGGGTGCGGGATGCACTTCTACGAGCTCTTTAAGTGTCGCCTCGGCTTGCATATGTTCGACGCAAGATTCCATATAAGCCTCGAAGTTTTCGGGGAGGTCTTCACTAACGCGTGCCAAGCTCAGTCACAGATCGGCACGTTGACTGAGGCTTTTCATGCGCTATGTTACGGACGTGCCTTCGAAGATACCGTTGACCCAAAATACGCTGAGGATCGCGAACCTAGCAGTGACGATCATCCGTTGTGGCTGAATTCGACCGCCGAAGACATCGTCATCTACAAGCTACATGGCATTTCTTAGGTCTTACCTAGAGACACGCACGCCAACTGCCTGTGAGTTCCCCTAAGGTCTGTGCCTCTCCGAGGACCTTTGATTAGCGTCATTGCCTTAACGCCATGATTGTACGACCGCGGAGGCGCTTAATTCAGCTTCGCATTCCTATAACGCCAAGCCTGCGCGACTCTGCGAGAACACAATCCGGAGTCATGTCGTTGGCACAGGCACAGCAAATTAGCGATGCATAAGGTTCCGACATCAAGGTTCGACTTTCCGACGTGTCCGTCACCGAGGTTCGGTCACCCGTGTGCGATTGGCCATGTTCTCAACATCAAGAATGCACACGCTCCAAGATAGGTATGTTCTCCAACAGCCTGAACGACCTGCCTGAAGACAGTCCTCTTGAAGACAATCTTCAGGACCAATCCGACAGTTTGCAGCGGCGACGACCTGTAGAACTTCCGTCAATGTATTACAATCCGGCTGCATCACAGGACCTCTGTTGTTGCTCAGATCTGTGCAATAGTAAAGCAGCAAGAGGACCTCGGAATGATGAATACACACGTGAACATGCGCACCGAAACGCTACGGCAGCATGCAACTACTCGAGTCTCGAAGAGTTGACTACACCTCGCAGCTATGGCCCCAAAAGGTTACAGTGGCTGCTGCCGCGCCAAAGGCGGTGATGCGGCCGGAACAAGGTTAGTTTCACTTGTCTGCGTCTATGGACTGGCCAACGGCGCACCCAATCCGGGACTCACGCCTAGAGCGTTGTAGCGATCTGTCACCCTAGCAGTGAGAGAACGTCGCTGTTGGCCAATGACTGTCGTTTTGGACAATCTTATGCCTCGGTCGGCGGCGAGCTCCAAACCATCATTGCAATACTCATTCTAAGTAAAGGTAGTAGGTAGGTGATGGTAGTGAGAAGCACTCCTTCCACGTACCGAACCATACTGTGCAACGCCGTCTCGCAACGCAGACCCTAGTTAGTGAGAGAAAAGTTCCGCAAACACTCCTCGTACAGGGGTTTGCTATTCGGTGAAGTGCACACAGCATCTTCACGCGCGCACACCGGATATGCGTGGGTAAGCGCCAGACCAGTCTATTGCCCGCCTCTAGGGGTATCCACCAAGTCGGTTCGCGAATCCTCCGGTGTGGAGACCCCGCAATTCAACAAGCGCCACTCACGACTGCTCCACCTTTTCGATCGACAGGCGTAATTTATCGTTGTTCTTTGGCTGGCGACCAGCCTCGCCCCTTGTCCTTCAAGGCTTGCCACGACCATCCCCGCGCAGGATTTACGCATTGCGACCAGTTGCCGCGGCTTCTTCCAACATTAGTGTCGATTGATTGACGGTAGCGTACCTGAACACCAAGTCTCTTTGAGGATATAGAGCTGCACCGCGCATGCACAGTCTCGCGGACCAGGGGCCTGCCTCTTTCTACGTAACGTTTCACTACCTGCACCTACCCGCCTCCCAACTGCTTCCTAGAGCGCCGCCAACATCATGGGTCACGCAATGCAAACGCCTGGGCATGAACCTCACGACACAGATGTTCGTGACCTTGAGAAGGCTGTCAACCATCATGCCCACAACGAGTACCAGGATCGTACGCCGCCCAGCGAGACCGAGAAGGGCGAGCGGCTGGCTCTGGCTCCAACTGTGAGCAAAGGGCCAACTGTACATGAGAGGGTGAGCTGAGCTTTGGGGGCGAAGCTGAACGTTGACTGACATAACGCTGTAGATGAATGGCCAGCTCTTTATGACCCTGCTGTGCATGTCCTTCCTTTGGATCGGTTCGCAAATTCCATTGTTCTTGTTCGGTTCAGTCCTACCTCTCATCTACAACGACATTGGCGGTGTCGATCGATGGGTGTGGTTTGTCATTGGCTACCTCATTCCGAATGCGGCTCTCTGTCCGTTCGTGGGTGCCCTTTCAGATCTATTCGGTCGCCAGAAGGTTGCGATCGTTGGACAGGTGTGCCTCATCGTGGGTCCGATCATCACAGCAACAGCGAACACGATGAACATTGCTATTGGTATGTCAAAAAGATTCTTTTGGACGAACTCTACTAACTAAATCAGCTGGCAATGTCTTCTCTGGAATCGGCGCCGGACTCAATGAGCTCATTGCTCTCGCCGGAACAGCCGAAGTTGTGCCCGTCAAGGACCGTGGCAAGTACGTCGGTCTGGTCGTCATCACCATCTTACCTTTCTGCCCCTCGGTGCTGTGGGCTCAGCTCATCGCTCAAGCCAGCAACTGGCGCTACAACGGTATTCTTATCGGTGTCTGGAACTTCGTCGGTCTTTTGCTCTGCATCTTCTGCTACCATGATCCTTCTCGACTTACTGCGGAGTACACTGCGACTCACGTCCTGAAGCGTATCGATTATATCGGTGGTATTCTTAGCATTGGTGGTATCACGACCTTCATGATGGGTCTGCAGTGGGGAGCCTCTCAGGTGAGTGATTCTCAACATTCTACCCAGTAAGCAGCACTGACATGCTGCAGTACGTCTGGGGAAGCCCGCACAACATCGTACCCCTTGTCATCGGCATCGTCATGATCGTTGCCTTCTTCGTGTGGGAGTTCTTTGCGCCTCATCCAATGGTTCCCCGTGCTTTATTCCACAAGGCCAAAAAGACCATGATCATTATTCTCTTGATCACCTTCCTCAGTGGTGGCAACTTCTTTGTTCTACTACTTTTCTGGCCTACACAAATCTACAATGTATATGGTAAGTCAACGCCACACTGCACGCGCCATGCAGCCTCTACTAATTCCACGTAGGTGATGACCCCATCGGTGTCGGTGTCCGATCCCTGCCCATCGGATTCGGTATCGTCGTCGGTGCTGCTATCTGTCTGGTCCTCATCCCCGTCACTAAGGGTCGCATCCGATTGCTGCTCTGCGTCTTCACAGCCATGATGACTGCTGGTACCGGAGCCATGGCCGTGTCTACACCACAGAACCTCAACCTCATGTATGCCCTTGCGACTATTGCATCTCTCGGTGTCGGCGGTGTCATCATACCATGCTCGATTATTGCGCAGATAGCCTGCCCGGACGAGCTCATTGCAACGGTCACTGCCATTACGCTCAGTCTGCGCTACATTGGTGGAGCCATCACCTTTGCGATTGGTTCCAACCTCTTCTACCACCACATCACTGAATACGCAACCGAGCTCGTTGCAACCAAGACGATTGCCGGAAACGCTATCGTCAACCCATTCAGACCTGAAGGACTAGCGCTCATTAAGCACATGACAGAGCTTGTCGCGAACGCTCAGTTCGATGAGCTGCGCGAGATCCTTGCGACAAGCCCTCTGGTTCTGAATAGGAATACCTACGGTCTTATTGTTGCAAGTGCACAGGAATCCTTTGCTCTGGCGTACCGATGGCCGTACTGGATTTCGATTGCTTTTGGAGGAGCGTGCTTTATCCTGAGTATCTTCGTTGGTGACATCGGTGCGCTGTTGGACAGCCACATCGCTGCTGCAATCTAACCGACGAGAGTCACCTGTAGTTTGGCCAGACCCCAACTAACAGTTGAAATCACTTTAAGAACTCGACTTTTTGTCTATCGTATTTAGCAAAAAAGAAACGTAATTGAAGATACCCATCTACTGCATCTTTGCATCTCTCTGCTCAATATCACCTGATCCCTCAGCAGCAGGTCTTGGAGGAAATGCACCCCGCCGTATCGTATGCAAGATAATGCTTGCGTATTAACAAATCAGCTTAAGCGCTCAGTGAGGTGACCTCTGGGCCAAGTTCTCTCGCCCGAACATCTCGGCTCGTCGGCGAAAGTCACGAGCTGCATCACTATGCAGCGGCGAGCAGGCCTATAAGTACCTGTTCGCAGCGCAGAGCTACGCTTGCTTTTCGACATCCAGCCTCTACACCTCATCACCTCTCTACACCAATCCACAAGCGCCAGCACCGTCTCAAAGCTTGCGTCGACAGATAACACTATCCTCCAGCTCTTCAACACCATGTCGCTCCAATTCATCCACTTCTCAGACTGCGTTCCTGACGCCTCGCCATATCACGAGTACAAGAAAGTGCAGATCCCCTCTCAAGACGCGACAGAGAAAGAATTACTGGTCGGGTCCCGAGAAGCAACTACATCCGCCACTCAGAATATCAAACGCGACTACGAACGATACCTGCACCGACGAAGTTCGATCGGCAGCAGGGTAGCATCGAAGTTCGGCCACATCTTCTTGCGGCCACAGTGATCAATATATCCCTCCATTGATCAATGATGTGATGAAATCAGAGCCGCAGTGTAGCGTTGCGCTATAACACCTCTCATACGCGTACTGCGCACTGTATATTTGCAGAAGTCGCATGGCTCAGTGGTTACCTCGCTGCGAGAGTAGCACGGACGCAGATAATGGTATGCGAGAGGAGCAGGTTGCTCAGCGTGCACTATTCAAGCTCTCAGAATGACTTGAAAATGCTCTATATCACGACTCTGCCAAATTGAAAAGTCGAAGGCCCGGGGAAAGTGCGGAGAGGTTGTTGTATTTCTTACGTTGGTGTGCGGCGCATTTCAGAGAGCGATTCGATACCATTTTGCTGACTGCGCAATATTTGCTTGGAGATAGAATCAACGTATACGTATTAATTCATTCGATGCGACGGTTTTTAAGATCGAAATTTACAGTGAAGGCAGTCTGGTTAGAAGACATGCAAACGGCGAATATGTGTTGAAGAGGAAGCGAGGCCAAGGGTGTGCGAAAGTGGGGCCAGGTACGGAGGCCTATTGTAACGGTTGAGAGAAGAAGCAGATCACGTGTTGTTGGCGGTGGTCTGGTGCTACTTCCTCATGTTGTTGAGCACCTCTTACCTCAGCTGCATCACAAACACGTCATCAAAACAGACCCCGCAGCGAGCCTTAGAGAGTAAAGATACAAGCAGAACAAGAACACACAAGAACACAATAGCGCCGCACACGGGCGAGCGCCGCACACGGGCGAGCGCCGCACCACACCAAACTTACGCACCTTATTTAACGTCTAACTTAACAAGGTTATAATAATATATATATTAATAGAGTAGATAAAGCAGTATCTTAAGTATCTACTTTGCACATACAAAAGTTATGGCCAGTCTCTCTACACCTCCTGCAGCGCACTAGAGCCTGGCGGCTAAGGCCTAATTGATCTCCTCCTTGACGCTACTCACTGTAACAGAGTAGGCGCCCTGCCCTCGAAATCAATACTACGTGACTTCTCTGCCTATAACAAAAGGTAAGCACAAGAATACTTAAGCAAGTATTCGTTGCGTAGTATAATATATATAGACAATAATAGTGCTAGCCAGCTAGCTTTGCCTCTAGCTGCTATGAGCGCTATGCCAGGTGTCGTGTTCGTGCATAGTCGTTACACTCACAAGCAATCTGCCGGTCAGCCTCACGTTAAGCAAGTAGATCCTCTCTAGCTCCCTTTATTAAGACCCTACTCTACTGTATACGCTTTTTCTTACGCTGTTTGCGTGCTAACACTGCCTTATTAGCTCTCTTAAGGCTAGTAATCTAATTATGTATTAGCTTAGCTAAGAGTATTATAACCTTAGCGCCCTTCTTAAGCTAACGTAGATTATCACCAAGCCAGCCATATCACCAAACTGGCCACTTTCTCTTAGCACAATCACCTTTTACCCTAACATAATATGCCTTAATAATAACAACTTTAGAATACTACTAGAGAAGGTAGAGTTATCCTTGCTATCTAGGCCTTCTATGCTAGCCAATTTTGCAGTATCTGCAGCGCTGCTAGAGCGTTGAACATACCTTATTAGTAGGTCTCTAATTGCCTTTAAAATATTATGTTTTAACTAACGTGGTTCACAAGCGAGTCGCTTACCCAAGTGAGTCGTCCACCAAACACCCGCGCCGCGCCTACGCAGCAGTGCAGCGCAGCACTACAATAAATTACAATACTACACATAACATTATAATATTATTTAGAAGCATTGCTATTATCTACGTCCTTAATTTCTACCTTATAGGTGCAGGAGTTATGCCTAATTTTGCTGCAATAACTGCAGCGCCTCTCTGCGCGCACCCTCTTTATAGGCGTCTTGCCCTCCTCATAACTACTACCCTCCTTTTTAGTAACTAGGTTAGATACCTTACTAACTATTAGAGTCTCCTCTACACGTATATACTAACTTTTAAAGGTCTTGCGCTTTGTAAGCGTAGTAACAGCGTCTTATAGCTAGCCTATTTCCTCCTATACTAACACTATATTATAAGCTATCTCTTAAGCACCTTTACTTCACTACTTAACCTGCTTATCTAATAAACTTGCTAGTGACCTACAATGATTTCGCATGCGATTTTAGATCAGCGTTGACTGCGCCTCTATGTAACGGTCTAGATTCTAAAGCTAAAGAAGAGCTAGAGCTAGCCGGTTACATTAGCTTAGCCGGCTTGGCTTAAGCTGGATATACATTATCTACGCAGTTAACTAGACGTCTAGTTAACTTGTGCATGCTTTTTAGCAAAAGTTGTTAGGAAGTAGATATCCTTTATTGGCCTTTGGCCAGACTACTACACTCTATCTTGCGGGCGTTGCGTGGTGTTTGCGCCTCCTAGGCGACAGTGCCTGGTGCAGGTGGCGTTGGCGTACGTAGCTGTACATCAAGCTTCGATAACACAACCTTAGGGTCATGTAGGGCTAGCCTAGCGCCTTAAAACCCTGTATAAACATTCTCTAGTATAAATATCCTCTTAAAAGCTACTTTAAAGGCTAGTAGGAAGGTTTCTTTATTAATATAGTAGATGCAGCTACGTGCTAAGAGCAAGATCCTGTTACTGTAGTGGCGCTTTAACAGCGAGTATGGGACAACGTCAAGAGGCTGCAGGAGGTGCGATGAGTGTGGTGGCATGTAGAGAGTAATAATCTTGTTCCCCTTGCAGTAGTCCTAGAATTCTATTAAGCAGTGGCTCTTATAGCTGTTAATAATAAGCAGCCTATATGCCCTAGCAGAGGTCACCTTTATATAGGCGTTAAAGTGCTTAAGCTATGCTATTGCAATGTTATTATTAGTCTAGCTAGTAGGAGAGACTATAACAACCTAGTTGTAAGGTAGACTAGTAAACTAGGAGGAGAATAGGACCTTGCCTACAAAGATAAGGAAGGGTAGGATAATACGCCCTATTATAGCAACACCTTGTACTAGGGTAACCTACTTATAATTACTAGGCTGTAGTTTCTTCTATTTCCTAGGTTTCTCTAAGCCTGTAATAACAAGCTAAGAGGATATCTTGCCTATTATAAAGCTAGACTTATTAAAGTTCTAGGTGTCCTTATCTATAATACTATACTTTGTCTTTATTAATTAAACTAGGCTAAACTAGGGCTAGATAAGCGCTAGGTCTTCACAGGCAGCTCGCTGGCAATCGTACAGACAGCTCCATCGCGTGCGCAGCTCTAGTGTACGCTTAATAAAGTTATCAACCTAGTTCTTGCCTGTAGGCTTCCTACCACGCTCCCTTAGCAGTCTATTAGCTATATCTTGTACATGCGCCTTTAAGGGCAGTATTCTATATAGACTCTCTTCAAGTATATGCTGTATAATTGCCTCCTCTTCTAGCTTTGTAAGGCGCTTTAATTTTAGCTTGCAGTCAGGTTAAGGGCGTTGCCTAGCGTGTTAGTCTTAGATTATTGTTTATAGGATGTTATAGACTACTGCAGCGCGTCTTTTGCTCTGTATCTGCTTAGACTTAATATCAGAGATAGCAATAAATATATCTCCTTTAGTATAGGTCTTTTGCATGTTGCGTTGTTGTGGCATTACGCGTTGTTGCTGCGCAGGCGGGGCGCGGGTGTTTAGTGGGCGACTCACTTGGGTGGGCGACTCGCTTGTGAACCACGTTAGACGTACACACTTATTGCTAGAAACTTACTATACTAGAGGAGCAGACAATTGTCTAGTATATACTTAACCTTAATTTGCAAGGATTTACGCCCTAGCTATATAAGGTGGCAGATATAGCTAATAAGATACTTAGTGTGCGTAGTGAAGAGCCTGTTAGCAAACTATAGGCTAGCAGGCTTATGACGCATTTAGACGAGCTTAAAATAGCCTTTTATTAAGCTAAGGATAGACAGAGGATACTATAGGAAGATCCTAAGATAATTAGCGCGTAGTTTAAGCTAGTAGAGGATACTTAAGTTAAGTATAGTGTTTACCATAATAATATGCACAACTTTAATATGCAAAGAAAGTAGGGGAAGGACTAGACTACTTTCTTCCTAGTCTAGAAGGACCTAGAAATATCTAGACTAGCTTTGTCTAAATAGGAAGCGTATAGCTAAATAGAGGTAAGGTAGGGTTATGTAATATAATAGACAAGTTATTATATTAGATACTAGGTAGAGATTCCTAGGCTAGGTACAGAGCGAACAGAGGGGGGAGAGCTAGAGGTATTTATGCTTCCTCTCCTCTGTCTGTATTTCTAAGCAGAACATTCTAGACTCCTCTAGGTAGG